TTGAGTCAGGGAGGGACAAGTGGCTGTGCCTTTGTCCCTTCTTGATAACTGCTCATGGTCACCTTGGAGAAAGCCTGGCTGAAAACCTGGGTGTTCAGAGTTGCATCAGCCGGACACCACCACAAGCTCCTGGCCTTTCCCTTCCTCCAATGCACAGAAACAGTGTGTATGTCTTGAGATTCAGTTCATAAAAAGCCCTGCTCCAATGTGGTTTTGGCTGGACAGAAAGGTTTTTGCTGACAGAACGGGCACTCTCAGACCATTTAGATGCAGAAATTTAAAACTTGGTTGCAAAGGCTTGAGGCCAGTCTGTCACTTCACAGATTCTGGCTTGGCAGAAGGAAACATTTCCTGCCTTCTTGGAGAAAACTTGTCTGAACCTCACTATGGTAGAAGGACTTGGGTATCCCAAGAGGATTGTTCCTATTCATTTTATTCATCCATCCACACAGCCAAGAATCCATCTGACATCTAATGAGCCTCTACACCGTGTGGGTCCTTATTTCTGGGCATTGAAATAGTCATGGTTCCTGCCTTCAAAAAGCCTTCGGTCCAGGAATGAAAGTGAACATGTCACTGGCCCAGGAGAGATCACATGCCGTAAAAGAAGTACCGACGAGAGGGCTCTGAGTTCAGAGAAATCATGGAAGGCTTGGTGGAGGACGTGATATTTGGATGAGGCATGAAAGGGGAGATGGGATGCAGAAATAGGGAGTGAAAGCATTTTGGACTGAACGGCCAGTGCAAGCAAAGCCTAGGAGTGGGACGTGCCAGGTGTTTACAGCTGAGCTGCTTATTGATGCACAATTAGTTTGGAGAAAGACTGGGAACTTCTTCAAACACCTCTCATGTGCCTTTTGCTACTGGAAGGCTAATGCTGTGCTTGCTGAATGAATTCTCAAGATCAGGCATGGGTGCAGTGGCTCACGTCTGTAATCCCTGAACTTCGGGATGCTGGGGCAGGAGGCTTACTTACACCCAGGAGTTCAAGAGCAGTCTGGTCAATCTAGCGAGGTCCTGTCTCTATGCATGCACACACAAAATTACCGGGGTTTGGTGGCGGGTGCCTGTCTGTAGTCCCACCTACTCAGGAGGCTGAGGCAGGAGGATCGCTTGAGCTCAGGAGTTTCAGGCTGCAGTGAGCTGTATCATACCACCACACTCCAGCTTGGGCGACACAGTGAGACCCCCTGTCTCAAAACCCCAAAACAAAGAGCTTCCTGACTGCTTTTCAGTGTCTGGAGCTGGCCTGTGTGTGCATTCTGACCTGGGAATGTCAGAGGTAGCAGCCTGCCTGGAAAAATGCTGCATCATCTACCTCTGCTTCTGGGGGACATCAGCGCAGGATTCAGTTGGACAGGTACCTGTTTAGCATCTACTGTGTGACAATTGCAGTTGGAGAGCAAAGATATGGAGGGTGGCCAAGCATAGATGGAGCAGCTAGCATGCCCCAGGCACTTTGGATACTTTGTCTCATTTGAACTTGAAAACCACCCTGTGAGGCTGATGGCTCTTCCTGTCTTACACATGCAGGAATAAATAACCAGCCCAAGATCGCAGCTTGGTAGCAGAGACAGGATTTGAACCCAGAGCAGTCTGCCGCCACCATGCAAGGACCCAAATAACAGGATAAGCAGTGCTAGGGAAAGTATAAACACAGTTTGGCAGTTCATGGAGAGTGAAATCTGCTGCAATTGAAACTGCATCATGGAAAAGGTGACATTTGGGGGTGGGCAGGGTGGCTTATGCCTGTAATCCCAAGTTTGGGAGGCTGAGGCAGGATTGCTTGAGGCCAGGAGTTTGAGACCAGCTTGGGCAGCATAGTGAGACCCTGTCTCTAGGGGAAAAAAAAAAAAAGCCAGAATCGATGGCACACACCTGCCATACCAGCTACTTGGGAAGTTAAGGTGGGAGGCTTGCTTGAGCCCAAGAGGCTGCAATGAGCTTTGATGGTGCTACTGCCCTTCAACCTGGGCAACAATGAGGCCTTGTCTCTAAAAGAAAAGTGATGTTTGAGATTCACTTCAGGTGATGAGCCTTTTAGGTTGAGGGAAGCTATTGCACTAGGCTATAAAGGCAGGAAAGCAGAGGAGCTTACTAAATAGATATGGCTGCATAAAAGAGGCTGGAAAAGCAGATGATACTAAGCCTTGAATACCAAGGGCTGGTGGACAGTGGGGAGCCACTGATGGTTCTGGAGCAGAGGAGTGACAATAAAATTCAGGCTCTGGGAAAATGAAGCTGGCATTGTTGGACAAGATGGAGATGCAATGAAGGATGGAGGGTTTAAGAACCATTAGTCCTGATACTGTCTTCTTAGGGGTGTCACATTACTTGCTAGTGTAGAATAATTGCTGTCTTCTGTCTGCTGGTTGATTGTCTGATTCATGTCCATCTCCAGCATCCAGCAAAAAACCAGAAGCACAATTTGTATTAAACGTACTGAAGGAAGAATGAACTTAGTATTCAGTTCTCTGGTGGTGACATTGCAAAGAACCCCAGTGAAGCAGACGAATGTCCACGAAATCCTAATGAGACTCTTCATTGAACTTGAGAATTTCACTGTGATTTCTGATTGCTTATTTAGCAAGTTATTTACTTTTGCATTTGATGTATGGCTTTTGTTAGGTGCTAAATAGGATCAAAAGCAAAACCAATCCAAATCCGTCATCAAAATTGGAGAGGCAAACTATGAAACATTTAGGTGACAATGTCCCCTCCCAGCTCTGACACAGTCCCATTGCCTAGTTCACTTATCCAGTGAATTAGCATACATGAAGTACTTAACCGTGCCTGGCACATGCTGAGTGAACAGCAAATGTTAGCTATTGTTATGACCATTCATTCATTCATAGAACACAAGTGATTAAGTGCTAGTCATTATGTGTGCACTTTCATACCTGCTAACTCAAACCTTGCCACAACCAACCTGCTGGTGGAATGTTCCATCTGACAAATGCAGAGACTGAGCCTGGGACCATTTATCAGCACTTCAATTTTAATGTGCACACGAATTATCAGCGGGGCTTGTTAACTTACAGACTCTGATTTGACAGGTCTGGGGTCAGGTCCAAGATTCTGCATTTTGAACAGGATCCCTGCTGCTGCTGCTGCTGCCACTGCCCATGGACCACGCTGAGTAGCAAAGGTCTAAGCAGAGCCACTGCTGCTAAGTGGCAGGACAAAGCTCTTTCCTGGAACCTCTGACTTCAAGTTCAGGGTTCTCCTTTCCTTTTTTTAGTCCCTTTTGCAAGTTTGCTGCTGGGAGTCAAGTGATTGTTCTCTAGATGCACAGATACAGGCAGATGGGATTTAGGTCCCTTTATGCAGTCATCAAACATTTATTGAGTCCTGGGAAAGCACAGGGTAAAAGCTGGGCTGTGGCCAAAGCTCACAGCCTGGTTTGGGTGTGTTTGAGTGGGTGGGGGCGGGCAGGGGTCCCAGCAGACTGCGCTGGAGTCTTGCTTCTTGGTTTCAATGTTTGTTTCGTCGGAAAGTTACACAACTGTAAGATCATCAATCCCATTGGTGCCTTAAATCCATCATGCCCCAGATGTCACCTCTCTCCAACCTGCCCGCATCAGCTCCTTCTCCCTGTTTCCTGTTTCTGCAGCGGTCATCACCCTCAGATGGTTGTATGGCCTTCTTTGGCATTTTATCAGCACATTTATTTAATGAAAATGTGAGGTGACAAATTTCACTAGCCCAGAAGCACGCTTTGCCCACCTGATGTAGGGAGATGGAGGTTTAAGCCAAGCGCAGATTTCGCCCTAGTGACCTGAATGAAATGGACACCAGAGGGCGCCTCAGGACCGTTTCCCTGCAAACGAGGTTTGCACTCCTCCCCCACACCAGTCGTTTTTGCTTTAAGACATGGTCTTCTGGTGATTCTTGGCCAAGGATTTGGGTAATTTACAACGGCAAAGTGCACATGCCTGTCCTCCCTTTCTTCTCCTCCTTTCTTCTGCTAGCACAGAGCTTCTTCACCTTTTAAAGGTCACGGCGATACATCCCTTTGATTTTCTTTGCTCTCCTCCCTGCCCTGGAAGTCCTGAACGCTGTGCGCAGGCCCTGGGAAGGGTGAAGGGAGTGGACTGTGCAGTGCATTGGCAGGTGCTTTGTGTCATTGAGCCGGCGAATCCCAGTCCCTTAAGAGTTCATCAGCATATAATAGATAATTCCGTCTTTGGAAGTAACATCTGCTGAAATAGATTGCTTCCGGTATAGGCTATGTTCCTCCTGGTGGGAATCCTTGGGTGAACTACATTCTTCACGGCTTCAGAATCAGGAGTTTGGAGTCAGCCCTCGATGCTGAACTCTCCTCCTCCTCTTCCTGTGTCCTCACGGCTGAACTGCCCTGGACACGCTAGTCTTTCCAAGATGACAACCAGCAAGCCTGGCTAACAGGGCCATACCAGAGCGTGGGTGGCTGAGGACAACTTCATGAAGAAATGAAGGGCCAGGGAGGGAGTGAGGACACTCCCTCAGGTAGAACGTCCCCTCTCTGGCCCCCAGGGGCCCATCAAAGAAGGGGTGTGGATAAGACGATCTAAAGCTGCTTCTCACTCTTTTTTTTTTTGAGACGGAGTTTCGCTCTTGTTACCCAGGCTGGAGTGCAATGGCGCGTTCTCCGCTCACCGCAACCTCCGCCTCCTGGGTTCAGGCAATTCTTCTGCTTCAGCCTCCTGAGTAGCTGGGATTACAGGCACACGCCACCATGCCCAGCTAATTTTTTGTATGTTTAGTAGAGACGGGGTTTCACCATGTTGACCAGGATGGTCTCGATCTGTTGACCTCGTGATCCACCCACCTCGGCCTCCCAAAGTGCTGGGATTACATGCTTCTCACTCTTAATCTTTGCCAGTGGTGGGGATTGAGGCCTGATGACACAGTGGGGACAATATTTTTAGGTTGGTATTTTTCATGCTTTTCACATTAAGCCATATGGCCAGAAATATTCCTTCCAGAGACTGCATTATCTTGAATAAGATTGTAGGATGTTAGAAAAAAGAGAGTCACAGAAACGTAGTGTCATGGAAAATGAAGAGAATTTAATGCTGGAATCACAGACGGGGCCACCTGTGTCAGACTTGTTCCCACGGATTCCAGGGCTTAGCACATTGTTGGCACAAGGTAGGTGATGAGAGAAATAATGAATGAATGAAACTGTAGGGAATTAAATCCTAGAACGATGGATAGAATCTAAGAATCAAAGAATATTAGAATTATGGGAAAACATTATTCACTTATTCAGAAGAGGGAGCTGAGATCCCAGGAGTGGGTGACAGTCTCCTGGGTGCTGAAGGGCCCATGGCTCCTGGGGCAGGGTTCTTTCTACAGAGGAGAGGTAGCCTGGAGGTTAGTGATGGTCCAGGCCACATCTCTGAACTCTCAGGCAGGGCTGGGTTTGCAGGAAAGGAATTTTCCAGAGGGAGGGCCTTTGACGTCAATGTTCCCCAGGTCTGGGACTGCAGCAGCTCGAGGTGGGACCTTGAGGGGCAGGGAGGAGGCTGAGCACAGCCTTAGCAGGGTGGGGTGGGTCCGGTGCACAGCTTGTTGGGGTAATGGGCATATTTTCGGTTGTAGGTGCCCAGGTTGTCACGAAAGCAGAGGGCAGCCCTCTTGTCACACTCGCAGGTCAGCCGCTGGCAGGTGGTTCTGCCGGCTGGATGGGACAAAGTGAGTCAGGGACCACAGAGGCTCAGGACACGAATGGGACAGCTCTTGGCTGCTCCTCGGTCCATGTTCTTGACCTGGACCACTCCATTCTGATGGAAGCCCAAGGTCCCGGGTTGTTTCAGGGATGGGTGACAAGAGACAAGGGCAGAGTGCACTGTGGCTCAGGACAGGGGAGACTGGGAGCTTGCCGTCACTGTCCCTCTCTGCTCTCCCAAGCCCACGCTGACTGCTCTTAGCTCTCCCCTGCCTTAGGGACACCACTTGGTTCACTAACTCTCACTGCCCCCAGCCAGGGGATTTCTAGGCAACCCCTGCACCAACCCCTTGTCCATCAAGCAGAGAGGACAGCTACGAAATGACAGCAACTCAATCTGATGGCTATGTGTGCCCCAGAGTGACGTGGGCCCAGGCTGGAGGCCATTGGAACCAAAGCTGGGGTCTGCTCAGGGCCCTCTCTGGTGCTCATCGGAGTGGAGAGAGCCCAGTTGTCTGCCCTTGCCCAGCCTGGGAGTCAGACTTCTGCCCTGACCTGCCCTCCCAAGAGCCGGCTGGCATCAGCTCTGTAGGGGCCCAGAGCTTCCTCCTCTTTCCGCTACAGCCGCCTCTGTCACCTCTGCCCACTGCGGCTCTAGCTCCTCTCTGTCCCCATGACTGTATCTCACAGCTCAGGCCAGGCGCCTCATTTCCCCGCTTGAAGGTTGGCCTTTGCCTCCCACCAGGGCTCTGCCCATGCCTGCTGTGTCAGCAACACTCAGGGCTGGAAGGGGCTTAACGCCAAGTGGGTCAACCTTGAGCGGGTCAACCTCTTTTGAGGGTTCTTTCTAGGAGCTGGACTGAGCTGCGGAAGTGGGTAAGATCCTCCCATTTTACAGATGAGGAAACAGAGGCTTTCCAGGGATTACATCACTTGTCCAAAGTCACAGGCCGGTGGAAGGTGAAGCCCTGGGTAGAATCCAGAGCCTGTGTCTTCACCCACCTGCCTCCTCCTCTAACTCATCCTCTCAGCCTAACCCAGCAGGTGGCTGCTCCTGCCTTGCATGGACTCCCAGCAACAGGGAGCTCACGACATCGCCCTACCGAGGGGACGGCTGCAGAAGAAACGGAGCCAGCTCTGCCGCTGTGGACCTGGTCAGCTCTGCCCCGCTCCCAGGACAGACTTGAGAGACCTGAGTCTTCTCCTGTGACCTCCCGAACCCTTCCGCGCTGCACCACCCGCCCACCAGGCCCTGCCTTTCTCCCGGGCCGCTCCTGGCTTTGTGGCAGGGGGACGGCTTGGCTCTCTCATCAGGGGCCCCTCCACACTCACTTGGTTTGGGCTCCTTCCCTGGGCCCAGGACCAAAGGAAAGCTAACTGGTCCAAGTGGGCATGGGACATGGTAAAGTTGAGCAGATAGGACTGGCCTGACAGTCCCAGTGAGGAGTCAGCCTTTGGAAACCGCGTCTGCTGTCCGCAGTCAAAGCCCCAGCTTGCTCTGTCCTAGGGACTTCAGCTTTAGCTCCTGCTGAGGCCCTGCTGGGCCTTGGCTAGGTTTAGCCCCCTCTACTCCTCTTTCCAGAGGCCAGACCTGGGAGGTGCCTGTGGGTAGGGAGATGCCTGGGCCCGAGGGCTGCACTGGTGGGCCACTGGTTTCTCTGGCCTGGGTACCCGGTGAACATGTGGGTCTCCACTGTTTCATGGTGACTGGAAACCCCATGCCTCCAGCCTGGGGTCTGGGTCTGATATGGCCCAAGGTCACCATCAGGAGGGGCTTCCTGTCTTCAGCTGCCTCTGCCCCCCTCACCACAGGGTGTCTGGGTCACTTCAGGGCAATCCGCTTACCACAGAAAATGCCACGTGTGCTGGCAGAGAAAAGATACTTTTCCAGTTTGGGCTCACAGCCCAGCTTCTCCAGACGCCCGTAACAGCAGTCGTGGGCATGGCAGCACCTGTAAGGGTCATGGTCGACCTGGAAGGACCTATGAGCCAGGCTGGGCTGGATCAGGGGCTGCCGGGGGCCCCAAGCCCAAAGCCCAGAGGAGGGGTCAGCCTGCATTTCCCAGGTGCTTCCCAGGTCCCCCCTTCTCTCAGGATGCTCCTCCAGCTCCTCCATTCCCAGGGAGGGCCCCCTGCAGTCCGCTTCCTCACCAGTCAGTCTGGTCCACTGGCCAGTGGGAGCCTCCGATGCCGCAGTAACAGCCGTAGTCGTTGTACTGCAGGGCAGACTTCCCTGTCATCTTCTCGATCATCACCCCGAACTGGACAAGGTTCCCGGTGGCCAGGGCCACTGTGGAGAGGGAGGGCCCCACCCTCTGCAGCCAACTTCCCCTCATGTCCCCTCAAATCCAATCGCAGGCATTTCTCCAGTTGTGCAGTTAAGCTGATCTCCCCAAAGTACCCCACTCTCAACAACAACCGTAGTAATAAGTAATAATATTGCCAGTGACATCCTTTGCACCTCACCTCAGCTGACCTCCCCGAATTCTTCCCTATGCTCCCGACTTAGCTGTGGGGCTGAATCCTGCCCACCTTGGCAGGTTGGAGCCAAAAATGGAAGCTAGGGTAGGAGAGGGAGCCCAGGGTGTGCTGTCCAGGACGTGCCAGCTCCTGGCCCATGCCCTTCACCTCTCCCAGGCTTCATTCTTTTCCCTTCTGCTCCTGCCACCACTGGCTCAGGCAAAACTGGCTTCAGGGTCGCCCTGGTGGCAGGAAGGGGGCAGCCTCCAGTGCTTGGCATCCACCATGCCCTTGGTAGGGCCAGGCTCGGGGGCATCCAAGGAGCTTGGGGTTGCCAGATGGGGCAGGAGAAGGCTGAAGGTCATGGAGGTCACTTACCCAGGAGGCAAAGGAACATCAGCACGTGGGGAGGTTTCATCCCGAGCTGGTAGGGAAGGGCGGTGAGGGGCTGAGGAGCACACGAGGCAGCAGAAGACTGCAGCAGGGGCACCTCTGATCGCAGGACGCCTCCCAATTAGTTAAATACCCAGGTCCCGTCCACTCCCTGTGATTAACCCCTGAGTGCCAGTGATGCAATGATTCCTCCAGGTCTGACAGTTTGGCCAAGTCCCTGGGGAGGGGCCAGCTGGGGCCCGTGGGCTCTGCTTCCAGGCAGTGTGGGGGGTGGCAGGCATTCTCATGGCTCTTTCTTCTCACACCCTTTCCAAAAAAATCATCCATTGACTGAGCTGTGAGGTGCGGGCTGTGCCAGGTGCTTGTCATTCTTGGTGTCTTTTTCTCATTCCCACTTGACCGAGGACCAGAGAGGCAAGAAAGTTCAGTCCTCACAGCCTGGAAGTGCCCAGGGCCAAGTCCATCCTGTTTCTGAGCTTCCACCCAGGCAGATCCGCCCTCCTGCTCTGGTCTGCGACTGGGATCACTGACTGTCCACTTCTATCACTGTTCTGGGCCAGGGAGTCACGGTCTGTGGCCTTGGAGTCCTGATTCTACGGCACATTAGGTGGCCTTGGGCAGGTCCTTTCCCTGGCTTGGAACCTCGGTTTTCCTGCCTGTATTGCAGGAATAGAAGGCATCCCCTTGCCTCCTGCACAGGAGGATGGAAAACTCAGATGCAACCAAGCCACCGGTCCAGTACTTGCTGTGCACCAGGCCTCTTTCTAGCAGGACCACAGCCCCATCCTGTGGGCTCTGCAGTCATCCCCTTCTTACAGAGGAGGAAACTGAGGCACATGCACATGTGGTGAGCCAGATTTTAAACCCAGCAACCCGAAGGGCTTAACCTGGGCCAACTTACCCAGCGTGAAGTGGAGGCGGGGCCTGGCACACATGCCACTTTTAGCAGCCCCAACAGAATGCTTTAGTTTCTTATCAAGGTAGGAAAACAATGAGTACCATCTAACCTGGATTATATTTGTCTTCAAACTGTTTTTATATGGAGGAAGGGTCTATGCAGGCCAGGGTGCTTAGGGCCTGTGACAGGGTTGTTTCGCAGCCCCAGTGTAGTCAGCGGGCCCCAGGCATCAGGAGCTGGTCTGGGGCCCAGGGCCAGCCTCCCTTCCAGGGGAGGAGACTAAACCCACCGAGTCTGGGTCTCACCCTACAGGCTGGAAGGAATCCTGGCACAAATTCCCGGACCCCAGCCAGCCGGAGGATAGAGGCCCGGGGAGGTTTCGCCCTGGAGTAAGGAAAGGAGGGCTGACTGGGAGGGATCCCACAACTGCGATTTGTGATAAAAGCTTTCTTTCTTTTTTTTTTTCTTGAGATGGAGTTTCACTCTTGTTGCCTAGGCTTGAGTGCAATGGCATGATCTTGGCTCACTGCAACCTCTGCCTCCCAGGTTCAAGCAATTCTCCCCCCTCAGCCTCCCCAGTAGCTGGTATTATAGGCATGCACCACCATGCCTGGCTAATTTTTTTTTTTTTTTTTGTATTTTTAGTGGGGATGGGGTTTCTCCATGTTGGTCAGGCTAGTCTCGAACTCCCAACCTCAGGTGATCTACCACCCTCGGCCTCCCAAAGTGCTGGGATTACAGGTGTGAGCCACCACATCTGGCAGATAAAAGGTTTTTAACACAAAAGTAAAACCCAGGAGGCTGGGTGCCGTGGCTCATGCCTGCAATCGCAGCCCTTTGGGAGGACGAGGCAGGTGGATCACTTGAGGTCGGGAGGTCGAGACCAGCCTGGCTAACATGTTGAAACCCTGTCTCTACTGAAAATACAAAAATTAGCCAGGCGTGGTGGTGCATGCCTATAATCACAGCTACTCAGGAGTCTGAGGCAGGAGAATTGCTTGAACCTGGGAGGCAGAGGTTTTAGTGAGCCAAGATCATGCCACTGCACTCCAGCCTGGGCGAAAGAGTGAGACTCCGTCTCAAAAAAAAAAAAAACAAAAAAAGCGTAAAGCTCAGGAAATCCTTGTCTCCTGCCCCTTCCGTTCATTTCCTATTCATAACTCCTCCTGGGACTCCTTTCATGCTGGGGTCTTCTCACCCTGCTTCAGAGAAGCCTTGCGGGGAGAAGGGGTCAGAGAGGTGAGTCCACCTGCTCAGGATCACCAGGCAGCTGTGAGTCATGGTCTCCTGAGAAGGGAGACCTTTGTTCACGATTTCTTTTTGATCTTCTGGCAGCTCCTGGCTCTCCCGGCCTGGGTTACAAGAGCCCAAACAGTGAATCACTGAGGAGTTACCTTCTAAACAACTGAAAATTAGCGTCGATTCCCTAGGAGGTTTGGCCGACGGCCATTCCTGTGGCATAAGGGGTGTTTCCCAGGAAGGGCCAGGTTTTTGAGACGATCCCTTTTGTGACCCATTTTGAATCTTGGCCTGGCCAGGAATGGGCTTCTGCAAGTCCCTGCAGGTCTATACCTGTAGCAGAAAAGTGAAGACAGTAGGGCCAGAGCCAAGCAGAAAAAGCCAGGCAGGCTTCCAGGCGGAGGTGCTCTCTGTTGAGGTTTGAGCTGGAGTGTTGGTAGGACTTGGACTTGGAGGATAGTTCAGTCATTTGGGAAAGGTAATTGATTTTATGGTCTCCACCCATTGGCACAATGCTATAGAAAGCATCAGCAAGACCAGGCTTGAGTGATGGCTCCTGCACTTAGGGACTGTGTGATCTTGGCCAGTCCCATCACTTCTCTGAGTCCAGCTTCATCATCCATAAAATGGAGATAACCAGACGTCCTTTCAAGGTCACAGACCAGAAGAAAAGGAAATGAAATGTGTAAAGACTTTGGCCTTGCCCGGGAACCATAAATATTGGGTCCCTCATTTTCTACTTTCCCTGGCCACAGAGGAAGCAGGTGCTGTCCCAAGAGCTCAAGGCACTTAATCCCACTGTGGTATAGTATGCGGCTGGACCAGGGTTCCCAGCACTTTGAAGGGATTACTATCCATACTTGACTGGTTTTATTCATGATGGAGGGTTGTTAGGGTGGAGGTAAGTGGAGAAAACAGGGCCAGCCTTTCAGTGATACCTTTTTCCACTTGGTATAAACTTGTCTCTTTTAGCTTAGACGTCACCATCAGCATTATCATCATCATCATCATCATCATCATCACTATCACTATCATTGTCATCATCCCCAATATTATCATCTTTATCACCATCAATATCACTAATATGGGTTGGATCTCTGTCCCTACCCAAATCTCACATTGAAATGTAATCCCCAATGCTGGAGGTGGGGTCTAATGGGAGGTGATCACAGGGCTGTTTCTAATGGTTTAGTACCATTCCTCTAGTGCTGTTCTCCTGACAGAGGTCTCATGAGATTTGGTTGTTTAAAAGTGTGTAGCACCTTCCCTCTCCCTCTATTCCTCCTGCTCCAGCCATGTAAGATGTGACTGTTTCCCCTTCACCTTCCACCATGATTGTAAGTTTCCTGAAGCCTCCTGAGAAGCAGAAGCCACTATACTTCTTGTACAGCCTTCAAAACCTCTTTTCTTTATAAATTACTCAGTCTCAGGTATTCCTTTATAACAATGTGAGAATGGACTAATAAAATCATCATTGTCATCATCATCATCACCATTATCACCATCACCATCACTAACATCATCATCACCATAATCATCACCATTAACATCATCATCATTGCCATCTTCATCATCATAATAATCACCATTAACATTGCCATCATCATCATCATCACCATCACCATCATCATCTTGACCATCACCATCATCACCATCACCATCACCATCATTTCACCATCACCATCATCATTATCACCATCACTATCCTCTTCACCATCACCATCATCATCACCATCACCAACATCTTGACCATCACCATCATCATCACCATCACCATCATCATCTTGACCATCACCATCATCATCTTGACCATCACCATCATCACCATCACCATCATCATCTTGACCATCACCATCATCACCATCACCATCATCATCTTGACCATCACCACTACCATCATCATCACCATCACCATCATCATCTTGACCATCACCATCATCATCATTATCACCATCACCATCAAATCACCATCATGATACTCACCATTACTATCACTGTCATCACCATCACAATCATCACCACTAACACCACCACCATCATCATCACCACTACCACCACCACCATCATCATTATTACCCTAACAATAAGAATGGCAGAACAAATGAGTCACATTTGCTAATGCCCTATACATGGTGGCCCTGTGCTGAGGGCCCTTATCTGCTACATCTCATCACTTGCCACAGACTTGTATTGCTTCCCTCAGACCTTCAGGGATTTCTAAGCAAAATGGGATAAACTTATTCCTGGAAGAATTAATTGCTTCTTCAGTCAATAAACTATATTGAGGACCTACTATGTGCTGGGATTCCATCAGAGAGCAAAACCAGATGTGGTTCCTGCCCTCATGGAGCTTATAGTCCAGTGGGGAGACAGATATTACTCATTACATACTGAATGAACACTTACAAATAGAGATAAGTAGCTTGACAGAAAGTTCCATGGGGCTATGAGAATGTTTTATGGGGCTGTCTTATTTGGGTAGGGGGTCAGTGAGGGCTTCTCTGTGGAAGAAATGATTGAGCAGGGATCTTGAAATGTTCCCTGCGTGGAGAAAGATGTCACCTCTGAAGGTGGGGAGTAACAAAATCATGTTACAAAGAAGTCTACATGCTGGGATGGGAGGCATTTGTGGCCATGAAACTATTTGTCACACACTGATGGAAAAAGCACCATTCTCAAGGTTGGCTTCAAAATGACTTATACCAGGCATTGGCAAACTTCTGTCAATGGCCATATAATACCTATTTTAAGCCTTTATGGGCCGTGTGGTCTGTTGAACTACTCAACTCTGTCCTTGTACCTCAAGAGCAGCCATAGACAACAGGCAATCAAAAGGGCATGACCATGTATCAATAAAAC